CAATAGCTTTTTATTTAATGCATCATCTGCTTTTTCCAAGAGTTATTCTCTTCTTGAGGTTCAGAAGGCAAAAATAAAGAAATCCTGTCACAGTCAATGTTGAGGTTTTGCTGTGCTTAGTGCATATTTACGTTTGCCAGTATCCATCATTCTGAAAGAGGCAACACAAGGAAACCCCTTGCAAAAAACTGGCAGAAGAATATTCCCTTTTGTCCACGTAAATTTACAATTTGGCTTGCAGCCATGAAAATTATGTAAATTTTTTAATATCACTTTCGTCACAATCTACTTTTGATAATTCTCCCTTAGGCTTTTAAACTAAATGAAAACTTGGAAATTAGGAATACTTAGCTAGTGCAATTGTGGGATGCTTTGCCTCATAGTAATGAAGGTCACACTTATTGAAAGGTCACAGTTGAATTTTACGCATGCAAATCTTACTCAATTTTTCCTAAATATAGATCTTAATGCCCTAATAAATGTCTTCTACATGTACTTTGTAGGACATACAAAGAAAAAGATGCTGTTAGAACAAGGTTATGACAACAACAAAAAAGTCAGCTAAAGCCCTCATTTTAAATGTGATGACATTTGGCTGGATACTAAATAAACAAACTGGTCACGTCGGACGCTATAATGAAATATTGCAATCTCCGGATCAAAACACTTTTTCGTACAGTAGAGAGCAATTTAGGCGAATGGAGTAAGAATAAAGTGGCTTTTTTGTCCTAAAATATATTTTATTGTACAAGTGGTTCATTTTTGCTGGGTGTTCTTGATCAAAAATTCCCAAGCCTCGAAGCAACACGCGTGAACTTAATCAATAAACATCATGTACTTTGTTATAAGAATGAACTTTCACCTTAAAGGACTCACGAAATAGCACATTAGTAGCTTATAGATAGGGTTTGTTCCTGAAAACTTAGTCGTACCATATTGAAAAAGTGTTCGCAGTTCTTCTACAAATCAGAGAGACCTTAGGTGTATGGACGGTCGAGGTTGAGGCAGACATATTGCTTTCGAGTAAGAATCATTTCACGAGTGGCAGGGACTGATTATCGAGGTACAAAACTCAAAATATTAAACAAATGAAGACGTGTTGTGGTTTACATATTACATATCCGAAAGAAATTAGATCTTTACTTGATATGAGGAAATGACTTAAGGGTATTTCTTGTCTCTCGTGCATACATGCTGCGTAAACAGGCCTTTTGACGAACCATTCCCAAGGAACAATTCAAATTTTACTTTATACATTGGAAATGTCTTGATTTAGAATAGAAACCACGGGATAAAACATGTAAACGTTTTGTTAACAAATAGGTCGAATATACAGTGTAGCAACAAATAGATTCTAATGGCACAAGTTGGGTTTAATTGGCTATGAAATAAAAGCTTTAAATTCACTAGGGCTGTTGTTTGTTTCCAAAGATCCCATCGTAAGCCTGAGAGGTCCTTTTTACTCCAGAATGTTCATGATAAAAGTTAATAAGCCTTAACACCTACCTTTCAACAAAGTTGAAGTCGGCATCAAAGATTTTTATCTCCTCGCTTCCAACACCGATGTGAAGGGTATTTCCTGATTCGTTCTTTGCAAGATGATACTCTATTCCATAATTTTCCATCAGAGACAGTTCTTTGATGAAAAATTGCTTCGCTGCCGCCGATCGAACGCCTTTGAGCTTAGCATGTTCCTCTGAAACACTGCTACGAAACTCTGAGCTCCACTGTGATTCAATTTCTGATGCCTGACAATAATCACACGGAGAGTAGGAATCGCCATGGTCCCCAATGGTTGCTTGTGCGATCAACGCATACACCGCTGCCGCTTTTTCCGGATCTGGGATAATTTTCCCTTCTTCCAAATCGTTTTTCAAATGGAGAAAATACTGATGCCTTCAAAGAAAAAAATGGTAACATTTGAGTGTACAGCTGACACCGTTCAACTCAACATGACAAGTAAACTACTGTTGAAGATAGCGCCAAAGGAAAATAATAAAGAGAATCATGATTAAGACCATTGCCACGATTTACAAACTCGTAAACCATTTTTAGATTGTACCTGGTGGAATCTTGAAGTAGGTATTGTGGTTGGACGAAAAATTTTACACGGAACTGTAGGCGATACGGTGGTGTACCAGAGATTTGACGTCGAATTCTATTTCTGGTGTTAAGCCAAAGTGTTTCGCCCTTTGGGCCTGTGAACTGTAATCCAAAATAGTCTAGTTCAATTATCCCAAGTCTTTTGCACACCTAAGGAAGGGAAGTAAGGGAATCATGACGAGTTAACGCGAAGGAAAAAAGTTACATCAGAAAATATACTTTGAAAGCAAATTACTGGACTTTGAGCCCAGAGAAGAACAAAACAACGAACCTCTTCTAAAAGGTCTTGTCCTCTCGCTTTATCTCGAATTTTGAACTCTTTAAGGACAAAGTCAGGCAGGGACACGTAACAGAGCATTCTGTGTCGAAGTTTTGATATTTCCCGCTACCTTTCCATAGAAATAAGATACACAAGTGACTGCGCTGTGTTCTTCCGCGGAGGTCTTGTTGTTCTGCACAAAAATTTTTTGACGAACTTCGTTTGAAATGGACTTCGAACCAAAAGGTCATTCCCTGTTCACGTGGAGGGCAAAGAGTGAACCAATCAGATTAGTATGTTTAAATCTTCAACCAATCAGCGCAATACAGGAAACCATCTGGGGTTTCCCTGCCCTTCTGGCGGAAAATTATGAACTCCAAGGTCTAAATTTAAAATTTATTGCACAAGCAATTTTTTTGCTGCCCTCATGATATTTCACTTTCTCCCGATTGTCTTATCTAGATCGCTTGTCTTGCTTTTCAGCTGGCTTTTCAGCTCATTGTTCGCACTCGAAACGTCATCAATAGGGCAGTGTTGCGTTGTTACTTGACCGAGAAAATAACCGGATGTGAATTTCAAAAATCTGCGAACAAAATTCAAATCGGTGGAAAAAAACATTACCAATAAGAAGTAAAACTAAAAATCATTCATTTCCATTATTATTGACACATATTTTAAGCTTCCAAGGTAGAATAATTTTTCTGTAGATTCCTGTGCGAGAACGATGCGAAGAGGATTCGAAAATTTTCAGACGCAACAGCTCGATTTGTTTGCAGAACCTTTATTTTTTTTTCTTCTCCGAATGAGCTGTTCTACTAACAACATCTTTTTACAAGTAAGGCAACAGATACACCTGAGCTTCACCGGCGATTCTCATGGACAGGATAAAAAAGGTTTTTACGTATAAAATAAAGTCTGGACTTTGCGTGAAAGGTCCGTGGAAAACCCGTGTGCTGCCGGCTTTGGTGCCGCGCCACGGACTTTGCACGTGATTATTAAACTAGCTCACGTTTGAATAATTACGGATTAGCAAAACAAAGAACTAAACGAAGTGTGGACTTTACCTGTCGAACTAATTCCAATTTCGTTCAAAAGCAGCCAGTTTAGACACTTTGATTTATCTTATCACCTTTAAGTCTTCCAAGGATAAGAGCATAACTTATCTTCTTCAGGACTAAGCAAGGGGGGGGGAGTGGAAGAATCAATCATCAGAGTAGTTGTTGCTTCTTAGAACAAAAGTTATTAAGTATTTACACTGGCAGCGCCATGAAAAAGGATGCAGCTTTTTCTTTGATGCTGACGGCGATTTTGTAACTTAGCAGCATAGCTGAATCAGAAAACCAAATCTTACCGACTATGCCTGCGTTGTGAGGAAATAAAGCCTTGAAGGTTATTGAGAAATTGAATAGGAAAAAGATACTGAAATACGAGAAATTTTCCACAACGGAAGTATACATATTGCGGATCTAACAGGCGGTTAAATTTGTGAAAATTATCGATAAACATTATCCAAACAAATTCATTTCATGTTGTTTGTCCCTCATTTACTTCATAATTCATTTCAAACCTCATTTGTCTGAAGGAAAACGATAGTTACTGCCGTCTATTATGTTTGGCACGCCGAATGAGTCATGCATTATAAGCAATATTCACATGGCTGGAAAGTCATAACATCTTCATCTGATTTTTGAGGTCTTTCGATTGTTTCTTTCATATAGATGGTGACTCAAGCTCCTATTTAAAAACCCGAAAATGAAACCTTTTTTAGAACCACTTGAGAGGAACAGTTGTGTAACATCCCAAAATAACTTTCCTTTAATTCAAGGAAAAAAGGTGACAACAGCCACCTATTGTCTTCACTAAAGTCTGTCAGAGCTATCACTTTTTTTTCCAGAATATTAATCGGCTCATGGAAGAACCACTTGTTCACATTCCGCTCGACTCAGTCAAACCAGGTTTTTCTGTGCAAGTTTTACAAGCGTGTCTATCTAAATAGAATGGTTTTACCCTTCTTTTCTCTAACGGGGCGTACTGAAGTTTTTCTTTACTTTTCTTTTTTCGTGGCGGGAACGATCTTACAGGGCTACTCAACGCCAGCACTTTATTTTAATATTCAAATTCAAATATTATAAATATCAATGTTTGCTGCGAGTCCAAGATTGTCTCTGCATGACACATTTTGATTTCTTTGCCTCGAAGGTTGTACAAAAAAATATATTTTCTGGGAATTTCAGCACGGGGTTTTTGTATATACCTTAAGGAAAGGAGCAGGTTCGGTAAGGCTTTCGTGTACAGCCAATATAAACACTGATATATTGCATCATTATTAAAATAAGTTGTTAAGTACTTGCAGGGTAAACAATAAGCCCACAAAATGGCCCAATATAGGGTCTCGCTGCTTTTGTTGGCGTAAACAACAGTTTGAAATATAGAAATACTTTCTTCAGTTTATATCAATTATGATAAAAAAAAAGATGCACACGAACTTAAAATTTCGACAAATGGTGAATACGAAAAGAGAACTATAGCTGAATTTTAAAGCGCACAGGGCGTTTTCAATAGCACAGACAAACTGGCGCCACAACACAAACACTGCATGGCAAACGACCATCGCTAATGATGTTAGTGAAAACGAAAGTGTAGAATAATCAATATTTTTAATTAGAATTTCTTCCAAGTTGACAATTTTCGCTATAATTTTCACAGAACACACAATTCAAGTCATTGATACAGGAATACACTTAGAATGAGAATCTTTCTCAACTGACGTTTCAGTCGCTTGGATGAATGGATAACAGTATATTTTATACATGGAAAAATACACCAAATTCCCAACAAAACAACATGCTAATTAGATCAAGATTAGTTGAAAACTGCTTTGACTGTATTTTTCAGAAACATATAAAATGTACATCAAAGAGCTTAAGTGAGAAAACCAGAAAACGTAAAAATGAGTTTTTCTATGCAAAATGTCCTGGACGGAATTGCACAAGATAAAAATGCAAATAAATTAGACAGTTTTCTAAAAAAAACTACATATGTAGCAAGAATTCTATTTACAAATTGTTATAAATGTGTCAGAACTAATATAAAATGGTCCCTTAGAAATTAAAATGAACGAAATCGAAGAATAACGCTCTTTCAGCTTAAGTTGGTGCAGCAACCAGACCCGCGGGGCCTCGGCCGAGTTGTTGTCCTCCAACGTTGCTCTCGAGGGGCTTGAACCCGAGTTCTTCGGTCGGTACTCCGAACGACTGGAGCTTTGCTTCGTAAGTTCGGATGAGATCATTATGAGCCTGAAATAAAACCAAAATTCTCAATTAAATCTCCAGTTTTATATAACAATCACACCTACAAGGGAAATAAGAGCCTGCGAATAAGATCTCTCGGCCAGTTAAGGGTGGCCGGGAAGGGAGAGGAGGAAACCTGATACCGTTTGCCATTCTGGACAACATGTATCATGTAACCCTCTTTTGGCTTAAGACTTCAGGGCTCTGCTCTAACAGGGCTGGGGTGCCACAGGCGACCAACTTTTGTCTTAAGGCGACCTGTAGAACTATGCTTTATGAAAGCTTTGAAGAGCCTGGCACCAAAGATTTTCGAGAGAAGATCTTCGAGACACCCGCTGATTCCTCTAGGAGGGCGGCTTTGTAAGTACTTAAGATACACAACTCTGATCTTTTCGAGGCACTATGCTAAAAAGGTTCTACAGGTAACTATGTAACAAATTAAACAAGTCATGTTCTTTACCTTGCAAACACGTGCCAATTCGTACTGTAAGTCTTTGATAGCACTGTTCTTCGAGTCTAAAACATCCTGAAAGAAAACAAGGCGAAAAAAGTTCTTAAACAGGGCAAACAAGTAATAAGAAAAAGACAAACGACTTATCAAAAATCAGGCCAACAATTTTCTGTAGAGATGGCAAGAAAATTTCACCAGCACGAGCAGCAAGCTTGTTTTAGACAATGGAGGAGGACTTGGACAAACCACCTTGATAAGATGTTAATGGAGCTGGTGGAGGACTGATGGAAATCTCACCTCAAGTTTTCTGGTTACAACTGTTAAAGCAGTAGGATCCAAATTGGATGCTGACAACACTTCGTTCAGCTGCGCTTCCTGTGAAAAAACTCGTAAAGTAAGCTGGGTAGACCACAATTAATGTGACGAGAGGTGTACTTTTATGAACTCATCGAAACACAAGGAATAACTCCTTAGCTTTCAAGGACCAACTACACTGTCTGTGGATTATTAAAATTCCAATATTTGTCTAAGTTCGTCCTTTGTTCGCAGTTTAAACCGTCCTTTTGGATTTATTATTGCACCCTTAAAGTTTTTTCCACCTCAACCAAAATAATATTTTGTTGTCTTGTCTAAGTCGACAGTAGTTTTTATCTTCAGTCACAAAAATGACTCGAAATACTTCAACTACAATCATTTTATTTGTTTCATAAAAACGGGGGAACGACAAGAACAAATCAAAGGGAGAGTAAAACCACCAGTGCCTTTCTACCGATGTGCAGTGATCAGGAAAAATTTTCACCTATCAGAAAAAGTCACAAATGTGACAGCGGTGTAAACAATTATAGATCTTTGTTTTCCTAGAAGGAAGACAACAAACTACAAATACACTATGTCTTGTCACTGATGTTTTTTGCGCGTACCTTCTTCTCCAGTGTATCAGCCAGAGCAGTCAGTTTCTTCTCAAGAAGCAAGTTTTTAAAGTTGCTCTTCTGTTGAACCTCATGTATAGCTTTGACAAATTTGCCATACAACTCGTCACGTTCACTTTGTGTCTATATCATAGAAAAAAAACAAAAACAGATCATGTTTAAGCACTGCGAACATTTTAATTACACTGACTAAACGACAGAAGAAACATTCTAAACTTTTCCATATTTTAAATGCACAAAAATGCACGTGGACAGGCAGCTCTCTTTTTCACAAGCTCATCATATTTGTAGGTGGCCTCGTACTTTTAATTGGTGCACCGGTTAATTATTTTGAGTATCACATTTTCGAAAAAAATTTTTGGACCTCTCAAGCTTTGGGCGTCTTGAATGTAGAATATTTTTATTTTGTTAAACCGACATTAATTCATCAGCGGGAATAAACCCATCCAAGATTTCCACGTATTTTGAAACTCTACTCTCCTCCTTCCAAAAGAAGACTCTAATTTTGGCATCTATCGATGGGGTTGTAGTCGTCATTTCTGAGAAGAATGCGTATATTCTAAATTCATGAGATCTCAAACCTGACTAAAGCGCTGTTGGAGAACTTCGTGTTCCCAATGTAAACTCCTTAGTTCTTCTTCTTGAACTTTAAGCCGTGCCTTAGCACTCTACAAAATTGAAGATATATAAATAGAATTATCTCTTATCGTCAACCTTTTTTTTGAAAACAAGTTATGCCCTAGCGTGCATCTTACAACTTAGATATCTTGCACTAAAGAAACCCAAGCTCTTTCAAGAACAGCTGCAAAATTCTAAACCCCTATTTTTATTAAGCGCTACGATGTGCAAAACATCGACAAATGAAGATTAGTGGAAGCCACGAAATTTACACAAATTTTGAAGGGTTGAAAAGCTACATCCACTTTTATTTTCCTTCAATCCTTCTCCTTACGCTGTAAATTATTCTTTACATGCAATATTGAGTTCACATTCAACAAAAGGGAAGAGACAACAAATGCTTATGAAAACATTAACATCTACAGCAATTAAGTGAAGGTTAAATACGTTACAATCTGACCAATGGTATGGACTGCTCTTACGTCACTGCTGATAGATCGTTTTCTACATATGATGTGCAAAACCTTCCTTGTATGATAGTAATACTTACAGCCAATGACGCTTTGTCTTTTTCATAGTTTGCAAGCTACAGAAAAAGGAAATAAGAAATTATTAATATAATACTAATTATTTTTGTTTAATAAATACCATAACTATTATTTGTAGACCCATGTAGATTTGTCTCAAAATGACTAGTAAAATTGGAGCCAACTGTGATTAATATAGTTCTCACTGCTTTGGAAAGGTTTGTTCTGAATGCCCTCCACTGCACCCCCTTGACAACATGGGGCAGAAAAAAGTCCGACTCCCCTGACAAGGAATTCAACATGAGACCTTCAGATTTTGCTATCCAAAATACTTTACCACTAATGGTCATTTACCACAATACAATCTGCCACAAAATAGCTGTCACTGCCACTAAATTTTTGTTGTAATGCCCTTAACTGCACCCCTTCCCCCTCTGTACAATGTGGTTCTATTTTCACTGAGATCATCTTTCATTGAATATAGAGAAAGGGTATTGTAGACATCTTTAGCACTTTTTAAACAGTCTTCTTAAAACTATCTTAAAAGTGGCAAAGTGAATGTTGTATCTGAAGTAATCTTGTTGCACATTGTAAGTTCTAATGTAAATGCACCCTCAATACTGCTGTGTTAAAAGTTACTACAGCATCTGTTTTCTAGTTATTCAACTGTAACTCAGACTTTTCTTCTAGCTGTCACTAATTAAAAATAATCTATAATGATGCTGCTTGAACAAAGTTGAAAGTTGAGAAAAACTATTATAATACTTTGGTCATAATATTTGTTGCTTAGTTTCACCTGTTTTCTAAGTTCTTCCACCTCCTCTCTGGCTTTCTGTAATGGTTCTGTTAATCTCTTATTCTCTGCCATAATTTCATTCATTTGTTTCTCCATTCTCTCTTCCTTCTTTTTCATCTCCTCAACTTGTTCCTAGTAAAAATAATAAACAAGAACTGATGAGCTGACTGGATTTTCTACTTACTTGTCACACTCTATCATTTTGTGGGAAAAGGACAGTTACCACACTGGTAAGTCCCCCTGGTAATTTTAAATTTGAAAGTTTGATGGCATTGCCTTATGACTGTACTACTTGAAATTATTGGAAGGTAATATTTGGTCAGTTGCCTTTCATGAGGTTTTGGTATAATTTAAGTTCAACCTCCTTCCTTACCATATGGAATTTGGTGCTGTTTTGGCCAATTACAAAGCTTGTTTTCTTATGAACATTTCCTGTAACTGCTAAAAATATGTGCTTCATAAATTACCTTGAGGGAATTTATAAGAGCCAGATTATTAAGTGTTATGTCATTGTAGTAATTCTTGATGTCACTGAAAGCTTTCTCATGATTCTTCATCAAGGTGTTGATTTGACCATTCTTGCGCTAAAAAGAAAAATATCAATTTATGGCACATGCTGATATAATAATAAAACACTTTTAGAGCACTGTGTCTGATACTTGCTCAAAGCATTGTACAACAATGGTTAAACTATAAATACAAAAGCCAATAGCTATTATAATAATGAAATTAAGTAAACAACACTACTAAAAACTAGACATCATAAGCCAATTTAAATAAGTATGTCTTCAACTGCATCTTGAACTGGTCAACAGAAAAAGCTCCATCACCATATGTCTTTAACCTGGATCTAGGCACAGCTAAAAGATTCTGAGAACTAGAATGAAGTAAATGTGGACTATTATGGTAGTGTAAAAGCTCAGATAGAAAAGTTGGTGCCAAGCCATTAAGGCACTTGTGCACTAAAAGCAATATAACAGTATAATTATTACAAACAAGGACAAACAAGATAAATCAATTATTAGCATCAGTCTATAGGCATATAGGATACTTCTTATAAACCACTCAAGCTTTTTGGTTGCCACAGTGAGTGCAAAAAAAGTTGGTGACTGAATTTGCATGGAAAGTAATCAATCTGGTGGACGTGTTCGCTGGTCAAGTGACAAGTTGTAATGTTCTCATTATTTGATGTTTTGTTTAAACTTACTAATTACATAGTACATAAACTAAAGTAAAATAAACATTAATTTAGCAAAGGTTAAATTCCATTTTTGTTTCATGCCTTTTCTTTAATTTTCTCTCAATTATCTTTTAACTTTTTTTTCCCCAGTGACCAAAATTTTATTCCTGCCAACTATGCAATGCTTCTAGATTGCCAAAGGGCTATTGGAAGATTGAGTGATTTTGGCACCCAGCCAATTGTAAACATACCATAACAGACTTAAGTACAGTTTAAGTGAATTTCAAGACTACATACATGCTTCTCAAACATCTGCAGTGGATGCTAGTTTTTGCATTGTACAACTATAGTCTTTGCAAAAATGCCACAAGGAAAATAAGTAATCTTTATTAATCATTAAGGATCAAACCTCTTCAATTTCATGTATTTCAGTTTTCCTCCTCAGCTCAAGTTCCTCTCTAAGTGCCTTCATTTTCTTGTCATACTTTGACTCAATTTCTATAAGAAGGAGATTGAAACAGCTTAAATTTGTAACAATATTTTACCCTCTCATCCTGTTACCCTTTTAACAATATTTGACAACCTATTACAAGCATTGTCTGTGGAGAAAATCTTTATAGGAAGAAGCAATCATTTTTCCTCTTAGTGAACATTAGAGAAACTTGCTTTTGATGCAGCAAAAAAAAATAGATCATAGAGTTATTAATTAGTTCCCTTCACTCACCTTTAACTTGTCTCTCAAAATCCTGCCTGAGTTTTGTTACATGTTCATCGTGACCCTGTAAAAATTTCCAAAATATGTTTGTGATTGACACAATATATAATCAAACACCAGTGGTAAAAAAATCTAAAACCTTCTGTATATTAACATGAGCCAATATGTAAAAGACAATTGTTACACTCACCTTCTTGAGATTCTTAACAACATCTTCATGAGAAAGTTCTTGTTCTTTTAATTCCACCTAAAGAAACATGATTCAATTCACATTGAAAAACCTCATAGACAGTACTATAATGATCGGAACTCTACCACCCATGATGGGCTGTTCTGCTCACTTGATCTAACTGGTGACCATCACTGTCTTAACACCCAGTTTTTAGGTAAACTGCAAATTCTAAAGTTAAGACTGCCCAGTGAAACACTGATAGGACTAGTGATTTATATTGATTTCAGAAAAGATTACTTCTCCATACACATTTAAACCTCTACACCCTTATGCAGTATGCATACTCTGTACTGTTCTTTATACATTCCGTAAGGTGCTGACAAGGAGAATTTGTTCAACAATTAAGAGCTATTTTAGTTGGTGATCATTACTACTGTAAGGGGAAATTACATGCTAGTCACCATCAAGGGGTTCAAGGGTTAATTACATGTGAACTAATGCTTTTTATTTTATTCTATTTTTCACAATCATGAGAAATAGTCAAATACTTGTCACATCAGCCCCAGACTCTTCTACAATTTTTTGCACTAAAATCAACAATATTCAGAAGGGATATCCAGGTACCTTGAGAGATCTCTTGTCCTTTCTTAAGTCTTGCTCATTGCCTTTGTGGTCGTCTTGTGCTAACTTCAACGCCACAGCACCTATTGATAAAAGTAGCAGGAGATGATGATGAAAAACTGTTTTTAAAATGTTTTAACAAAGAGCTGGTTAACTTTGTGATTTTCAAAAATTATTATACTGTCACTAAAATCTCTATAAATAAACTGGGAAATCTACTGCATCAGAAACAGCTCTTCTTTCTAACACAACAAAAAACCTGATCAATGAAGGTTTTCTCACTACATTGCTCACCAACATACATGTAGTGCCATTAGAAAAAACACCAACAGAAGTTTTAGATAGACTTTAGCATTCAATGGATGGTTTTAACTCAGAGGTGACATGAGATGGTATAGTCTGACTGTCAGTGTGAAGGTAAGTCTGGAGGACTGTTATTGGTAGAAGTGACTGAGGTTTCGACAACCTGAGCAGAAGTCATCATCAAAATTAAGTGAACTGTAATTGTCAGTTGAGTGTACTAAGTGTGGTTCACAAGAACTAGACCAAGCAAAATACACTAACAATGACTGATTATAGCTTAAAGCATATTATGTTTTGATTTTGTGAGTCTCGAAGTGAAGAACTTTTAATGTGTATCTTAAGTTGCTTACTCTCAGCTTTAAGTTCTGCAATGTTGTTCTGGTGTTCATACAATAAATGTTTCACTTTCTGTTTGTAAACTTTAATTTCCACTTGGTGTCTTTCCTCTGCCTCCTCCATTTCTCTATCTTTGTTACGCAGCTCTGCCTTCCTTTCCTCAAGCTGTCGTTTTGTGATTTCCCAAAAAGTATTCACTTTATCTCGTTCCAGTTGAAAGTAATTGCGTTCTTCACGTTCCCTATCTAATTCCTCTCGTAATCTCACAATGTGTTCTTCCAACTGTTCTTTGCTCATCTCTTCTGTGCTAATCCCATCTACTATTGTAGGTGTCTTGGACTTGGCAGATTTCTTTTTCCCCTTCTTCTTCCCACTTTTCTTTTTGGGAGGCTATTGATGTAACAAAGAGGAAATCTCTTGAACATACATGTATGAGTACTTTGTGTCAAAGTATAGATCACTTAAAAGGGTGCCAAGGAGTATCTGATTATGTTTCTCACATGAATTTTTAAAAAAATTCATGCATACATACAGTTTAACTAGTATTGCACGTAACATGATATTTAAAAGTAAAGAGAAAACTTCACATCTCATCTTATCTTGCCTTTGTGTTAAATTCATGTGTCATGTATCAAACCTTTCCCACCCCCCACTGATACCTTCATGATTATTTACTGACATAATTTTCCCACACTATCGAATTATCACCTTTTTCTGTTACATTACCAAAATAGCCAATGAGACTATGGTTCCATTGAATTTAGTGGAAAAATTAAAGTATAGATGAGTAAGTTGGTTTTTACAAGCTTGTTAAAATTATATGAATTTGCTGATTGGCTAATTACATATCATAAACACAAGGGATAGCTAGTGAAAGAAAGGGAATTGATTTGAAGTTTAACACATTTAGTTCCTGCCAATACAAATAATCGTCCCAATATCTAAAGCAAGATTTCACTAAAGTGGATCCTGATACCATAATGTAAAATATAAAATAAATGTCATAAAAGTCCACAAAATTAACCTTATGAAAATAAAAGCAATCTTAAGCAGAAGTGTAAATAAGGCCTGAAACAATCCAGGCCTGTACTGGATTTGAACCCATGACCAGTTCTACCAAATGAACTAACAAGCCAACTGAGAGCTTGTTATTATGTTGGTTTGCAAGAAGCCTGTGAAGTGATGAATCAATGACCGTGAATACATGAAAATTATGTATGTGAACTACAGATTAAGGTTATATGATAATATGATTTTCATTTATTCACACAGTCATTGAACTTAAACTAATGACTAACAATGACTTGCAGTCCAAAATATAACAAAAGCTAGCAAAGCTGATGCTACCCTGCATCACATTACAGAGTAAATATCAAATAAATTCAATCATTTTAAGGTAACTTTCAACATATCTTTGAAAGTGTGCAAGAAGTTTTTCTCTGAAATACACATAGAAATGGAACAATTAAGTGTGAAACATACGTTTTGCGAAATCGCTATTGAAGGAAATTTTCCTTTAAAACCAAGCTTTTATGAAATATATTCTTTGAGAAACTCATTAGAGCTTGCTTAGATCAACTGCTACCAAGTGTAATGGTTTTATAATGTCTTGAATAAGAGGCAAATATCTACTGGCTCATCTAGTGTCCTTTCACCAACTTGTGCCGTAAACTGTTATTGTGAATAATTATGAAGTGATTCAAAATATACCGTAACTTTACCCATCTTTCAAATAGAATAGTGATCAACTGCCACCTACCATGATGAACAACTCGGATTTTTGCTATAAAACAACGGTACTTTCCGACAAACACAGAATGCAGTAGTTTTTCCACCGAACAAGATAAGGTGTTGCCTAGAAACGAATAAAACAAAGTCCCGTATTGGAAAATGGTGAACACCGCTGAAAAGCGTGGATACTGCTGATGTCACGCAGTCACGCAGTACATCACTCGGAAATTTAAGCCCAGTAGGTGAAACCATAGTTAATGGAGGGAGACCCAGACCCAAATTTTTAAGTTCCAATGTTGCAAGACGAAAAAAAAATTGACTTAGCTAGTGTTCTTTGTACATACATAAATAAATCATCACAAAAGTGTCTGATATTGGTCTACTTTCAATATTTAATAACCACTTCTTTATTTTAAATTATGTGACAAAGAAAAGGTACTGTAGTCACGAGACCACCACGCAGTTTCACATAGTTCTAAGAACTTTCGGTATTTATTACCACGTCTTGGGTTTTATGATGTTTGTGTCAAAGTTTTGTACGATTTTTCTAGTTTTGGAGGCGACGTTTTTCACTTCAAACGTCTGTGCTTTCAGCAAAATGGTTAAACTGGAAAGTGTTTTCCGTTTTGCCAACATATATGGTGATCATATGGTTCTGCAGATGAAACCTTTTAGTGCAGTGGTATGGGGATTCGGTGAAATAGGACAAACAGTTGATGTCAAGTTGGGAGGTGAAGTTCAAACGACGGAAGTAGTGAAAGGTGAGCAAATTAAATTCCCTGGGTACAGCTGAGGGTAAAGTGTTCTGTAGTTAGTTGTGAATTTCCGATTGAAGTTTCTTTTATGGTCAGCAACCTCCCCGATGAAGGGGAACGGATAGTTCTGAAGTAATTTGATAAAGAGGGGACGAGCGAGGGGGAAACAGATAGAACCTTCAATCTAGCCCCAAATAGTTGCATCTCAGTATTCTATGATGTTGTACCTTCAAAACTGTTGTTGGTTTTTTTTTTGTGTGATTCACGTTTTGGGAATGCTTAGGGTTGAGGTTCAAGCCTACTAACTCTTTTGATTTACGAAAATGCAATACTGCATATGATTTTTTCCCCTCAGACATTTCGTTTATAATTAGAAGGTGAACACATAATGCACAGTAAAACCTCTCTAATAAGGATATCACATGACCGGAGAGTCTGTCTGTCTCCTGTCTGTCACTTAATCACACGAGTGCTCACTATAGAGTGGTGGTGTATGTTGTTTGTCCTCTGGGTTGGAGATTTAGTGTCTTCTTGGTATTAGGGATGGTCCATTAAATGTAGGCTATTTTTTTAAGAATAGTATTTTGGTTATTTGTAGAAAATAAGAAAAACAAGGTAATGTAGGTTATCAATGTAGGTTATTTAGGTAAAGAATATTTTTAATGACATAATTAAGGACTGCTTTATCAGGATTTGCTCTGATGAGGAATGGAGGGGGAGGGCAGAGCTTGTGTCCCTTGTTTCCTCAAATGAGTGTACCTTTCTTCCTAATTTTTATTTGCTGAACTTTGCAGTTAATGACCAAGTCTAACATGAAAGATATTGAAAGTGCTGCCACTAGAGCTGCCTTTTATTCACTCTCTCTTTTTTAATATGCCTACTCCTTTTGAAGGTCCTGAAGGATCAGGAGTATGGAAGGTGACTTTAGATTCTCGTGGTGCCGGTGGACCCTATAACATTACTGCTACTTCAAAAGTGGACAATGTCATGAAGACAATAACTTTAGAGGATGTTTTGTTTGGTGATGTTTGGGTGTGTAGTGGACAGAGCAACATGCAGTTTACAGTGTCTCAGGTAAATGCTTATGTACTAAAGCACTAAACCAGTACCTGCTCTTGATCATGTGGTTAGATGACCCAGACAGTCACCAAATTAATTTATACCGTCTCTTCTACACTTGCTGTCCAGCATCTATTGGACGAAGAAAAAAAAAACCTTACTGGCCTTTTTTACTCTTTGTTTAATCTCCAACTCAGTTAAGAGAACTTAAGATTTTGTGTGTTTGTTTTAGCAACTTCAGTTCTTATGGAGTGACTGAGACAGGACAATCAAAAACTAATTTTAGGTCAATTAATGTGGGGATATAAACCAAATTTCTCCAGATTTAAATTTTCAGTAGCTTTTAAACCTTTTAATTTTTCATAAATCCAGGTTTATGGAGTAGAAAGCAATTAGGACTCAATTCTTGTGTGTAACTGTTATTTGTAGTAATGGGAGTAGTATAACATGATAATTGGATTTTATTATGGGAACATGTTCCCAACAAAAGCATAGCTCCATTTTCTGCATATAAACACACTTGTAACCCAAAGGGCTAATGCTTGAAACAGCTTTAAAATATTTTGCAATAGCCAATTTATGCGACCAATTCATTTGATAAATTACCAAAGTATCTTATTTGTAGTGAACAAGAACAACAAGGTTATTATTGCATTTTGTCATCGTATCATAGATGGTAATCAGGAGTTAGATCATGATCTGGCTTTTGTTAATTTCTCTCTATGTTAGACACCCATCTTCCAAGTTCTGTTTTTCAATTCCAACTCTGTAAGATTCATGCAAAGAGAATCTCTCTTTGTCCTGTAAAACAGGTTTTACTGGTTGGGGGAGAAGGGATGGAATTGGGGTCAATATGCTCAGATTTTTTCTTGGGGGTGGGTTGGTGGTGCATCTTATACATGTGCAGAGTTGACGGTGTAGGCTTGCTCTAAAGACAGGCATATCTGTATGCCTGTCTTTGTGTCCTATTGTTTATAGATCACATGCACTGTCCTGTGGTGATCTTCAAGACAAGAAAGAAAAGAATCATCTTAGTGGACAACATCAAGTACAAGACATTGTAACTCTGAAGTTTTCTTGCACTCAATCCATTCGGCTCTCAGTCAAGGGGGACCCAGTCAATCTTAACTTGTCAATGATAGGAAAATTACAAAAAGTTGGCCATGGAAGGCTCATGCACAGTTTTTTTTATGACCAGTTTGCAGATTTTCCTCCTTAGTAAAATATCAGTTCATGCTCAGTTTAAATATTATGTAAAATTTTATGCTAGGTGTACTTGTCTCTGAATAATTTTAGGCAATCAATGCTTCAGAGGCATCCAAAGAGGCAGACAATTATCCAGAAATCAGATTATTTACTGCAAGTCTTATTGAATCTGAAACGCCTTTATATGAGCTTAAGGAAGTTGAACAGCCATGGAGTGTTGCTTCATCTGGTAAGGCAATTTCCATTTTGACAGTGATGCATTAGTTGGTATCAAATCAATAAAAAAATGGCAATCATCTCAAAAATGGTTCTAGTAACAGTAATGGCAATAAAGTAACAGTATTAACAATAACAATATGCTAAGATTGGGAATCAAACATGAAATGATATAAAACAAAACCAGATGCCAGTTTCAGAATTTGATGTTCAAAACTTAAACTAACACAACCATTAAACCACTTTTCTGAAAGCGAGTACACCTAATTATTTATTTAGTAAATTGTCATACTATTTTTTTTTCTCCAAGAAACTGTCAATGGAGGTACTTGGAAATATTTCTCAGCTGTCTGTTGGTTTTATGGCAAGAACCTTTATGACCAGTTTAAGAGACCATTAGGTTTAGTTGCCACTGACTGGGGAGGCACGCCAGTGGAAGCTTGGTCCTCACCAGATGCCTTGCGAAAATGCAATGTAACTGGCAACAAAGTAGACAACTTGTAAGTCCCTTGGGAGATAGGTTTTTCAGTGTGCTGCAGACTTTTGGTTGTGGTAAAGAATCACTCATAGAATTAACTGTGCATGCTGGACCAAGATGATGATACTTTAGTAACAGTTTTATATAGTACAAAAAGTTTACTATCTATTACTTTTCCAGGATTTGTGCCTGGATTCTTGAACATACTGGTGCTGACAACCTTGACATACTAACTTCTAACTTATTTATTTTCAAACTTTTGTACTGCAAGATCAGTTTATAACCTGATCAGGTTTTGCACATGCTAATGGTTGGCAAGCTATATTTTTTGATGAGGTGGTTAGGTATATGATGTGCTCACTGTTGTGATTAGCCCTACTGAAAGGTGTAAATGCTAGGGACCTGGGACCTGGGAGTGTAAAGGGAAAGGAATTATTTGTTACCAGAAGCAAACACTCAATACTAATGTAGAATTTTTAAAATCACCTTTTAAAAATCATGTTGCCTTTTTTTAAGATACTTGTTGCCTGAAGATGAGTCATTCAAGGGGCCCCAGTCACACTCTGTGTTGTACAATGCAATGATCCATCCATTTCTGAACATGACCATATATGGAGCAATTTGGTATCAAGGTGAAGCAAATGCTGGAGCTCCATATAATTACAACTGTACATTTCCTGCAATGATTGATGACTGGCGATCCAAATGGTTCTATGGAACTGACGACCTCACAGACCCTGAATTTCCTTTTGGATTTGTTCAAGTAAGTAATGAAAACAATTTTTGGATCAATGAAAGTCTCTTAACAACTGTGCACTTACCCCTCCCCTGACCCAACATTAACCCTACTTTGTTATCAGTTGACTGTTGTTAGTTAAAGGGAGGAGTAGGTGCTGACATTGATCCCAATTTTTTTGCTTGGTTTTTAAAATTGAGGGATCATTTGCAGAGAGTTTGAAAAAAATGTTTTTCGTTTTAAACCCCAAGTTGTCAGCCAATGGAAATGACTCAACCATTGCAGATGGATTTCCTGTCATTCGATGGGCTCAAACTGCCAATTATGGCTATGTGCCGAATCTCAGGGAAACTAACGTATTCATGGCTGTGGCGATGGATTTGGGAAACGCCTCGTCACCATATGGCAGTGTCCACCCAAATGATAAACAAGACGTTGGGTATCGTTTAGCACTTGCCGGACGAGCAGTTGCCTACGGGGATCTGGATGTGTACTATTCTGGGCCAATTGTATCTGATGTTATAATTACCGCTCCAGCAAAGTCTAACACAACATGGATTGCGACGGTGAAATATCATCACGAAAGTGTGGGTTTAGGAGGAATTGAACTGCGGTCAGACCACGGATTCGAGGTAACTCGTCAATTCTATTTCCCGACGTTGTTCAGTAATTTATCATGTTTACCAAGTTGGCCACACCCTTAACCATGTGTTTCTTCACTTGATTGGTAAGTACATTCTGGTAACGTGCTTTCATGTCAAACTCATAACTACATTATTTGTCTATAGTTCTACTGCGCGTTGCCTGGCCAATCCGAAATCACTCAGGCCAAGATTGTCTCAAGCGACTTCAGCTCAGTGCACGTAACTGGGGACTGCCCCCATGAGATGTCTGTGCAAGGAATACGATATGCTTGGTACACAAAGCCTTGTGATTTTAAAAAGTGTGCTGTCTACAGCAAGGAAAATGACCTACCGGGACCTCCTTTCACGTGGAATGCGCCTGTTAATTAAAGGAACGCTTTTCGAGAAAGTGCCGCCTCCATGAAGAGGACAGTCATCGAAACCAAGGAAATGCAGTTGATGCATTTTTGATGCTGATAGAATTGAAACGATTTTCTTTGATGTCATTTTAAAGCTTAGCCAATTGGATTTTAAGTTAAACAAATAACGTTTCAATAATCAGGATGATGATAACACAAGTTCATATTGGGATACGCATGTAATCAGTCGTACAGATTTGACCAAATATTAGTTTTCGATATCATTTGAAGTGATGTAAAACAGTGTCTTTTAATCTTAATATTTCATTTATAAAAGGTAAGTAATTGAGTCAGAAGTCGGATGATCTGTATAATAAGCTGAATAACACGCGCATTTGGACTTTTACTTATGATCTATTAGAGAACGGACGCACGGATGACGTCACCATTCACAATTTTTACTCCATTGTTATGTAAACAAATTGATTCCTTGTTGCCATGGGTCTGTACACTTACGGATCACAGAAGACGTGGTAAGAATATCAGAGACACACTCAGCTGCACCTTGTATGCCACGGTTTTATTTTTACCTTACGTCATTTTGACGTCATCTGTGATCTATTAGTTAGCAGACGCGCGGTCACGTGGAGCCTATTGGCTAAATAGGTCAGTAGTCCTAAAAAAGACTACTTTGCAGCTTAACTTTTAAGTGTTAATTAGAAATGTAATTGCTGACATGAACAGAACAAAATTCGCCGGTCTTTCAATGAAATAAACAGAGTAGAATTGCTGTAGAATCCACCCTCATTTTATGATGCGTTATCTTTCTTCGAGTGAACTGTGACCGTGTAACTAGAGAGACGTAGTTTGTAGAATAATCACAGATCAATTGGCTTCCCTCATTGCTCAGTCTAATTCAACTGTCCTTTATTCAATCATCAAGCTAGTATCTTCACTAAAAAGTCCGTGTGATTTTTTTTTTTCACTTTCAATACAATAACTTAAGATAAAATTTACAATACGATTGAATAATAAGAAATGTCTTTACAGCATTAATGTTATGCAACACATTTCACTACAGACATATTCACCATGGATGAAGGCATTTGCTACTTAGCTTCCAATATTTGAGAGAACTGTTAGTAAGTTTGTCTGCTGAAATGTCATCAGTGTCCGCCATTCCTCTTCCCCACTCTCCCTCACACGGATCCATGCTGTTCATATTTTACTCGGAAGCCCCTGTGTTAGGAAGATTTAGTCAAAGTCGTCAAGTTTTACGCACGCCGTTCTTGTCATGAAGATGACTTTTGAACCCACTAGTTATTTCGTTTACGATTCTCCCATAATAGTTGATATGTAGGAGATTTCCGTCTATGTGGACTTGCTAAGGACATTGCTTAAACTCCCAACAGACGTGGATGCTGCCCATATTTGAGATCGCGATTTGTGAAACGAATATTGAGACACTTGCGAACGTACACTTTCTAGAGTGTTCCGCTGTGGTTGCAAGACAACGATATACATCTTGGGACCGTACATGCAGATCAGTAACCCAAATGAGGTTACTAACGTCGTTGAACATGCCACTAGAGTCACATACCAGCTCTCAAAATTGAACACCACAGGGTAATATGCTATTGATGAAAGCAGGAGAATGTACATGGAGAATCCAATGTACTTTGTTTCGTTGAAGTTCTCGGGGATGTCCCTGGCTTTGAAAGCATAATAGGTGCAGAGGAGAGCCACGGTTGATGTGTAAGAGCAGACAGCGAGGAAAAGCGAAAAGCCGGTGTTAAAGCCAAAAGGTTTGCACACAAGAAAAATGTATTCGTCTGGACGGATGAGTTTCTCGCGTCTTGGAGGATCAAACATCATCCACAGTGCTATTAGGGATAAAGCGACTGAATTCATAAATATGATTGTCATGGTCTGCCTTTGTATCGTCTTAAAACACGGTGTAAATAGTTCTGCTACTTTGTCTACCTGAAAAACACTTGTAATTCGCATCGTTTTCAAGAAGAGTACTGTTACGCAAAGATTCAGTGCAAAATAACGCCCAACGTACACGATGTAGCACAATGCTTGACTCGGCTCTACCAACTCAAGGACAGCGAGGGCAAAAAGTGTCATAATACCAAAGAGCAACAGGAAGCTCATTTCTCTGCTAGATGCCTTCACAACTGGAGTATTATAGAATTTAACGTAGACCGATAGTGTAAGAAGTAAGAAGAGTACACCGATAGACGTTATCGCAATAATACTAACTCCAGTGGGACTCATCAGTGAGATATTGATGACCGTTAAATCCTCGCATTCTGTGCGCTTATCATTTGGTTTGGTCTCGGGCTGACATTCCGTACAAGAACTTGATCCGTTACCGGCGCTGATGGTTCCCTGTGGACACGTTATGCATTCCCAGCAGCATGGTGTAGTGGGTGACTTCATGGTGCCAGGGGAACATTCGCGTGCACAGAATGAGGCTGGAACGGAAAGATTATTGAGAAGGGAACCCCAGTGCAAAGAGGACTCGTTCAAACGAAGCTTTGGTGTAGTTTCTTTGTCCCAGCATCCCACCAAAACCTTTCTGTGAGGTGTTCCAATGGTTGAGACACGCTGGAAGCTGATGATGTCATACGAGGCGGATAAAGGATCCCCGGAACTGTCAAATCGAATTCTGCCAGTCACTCCGGGGAAACTGACATTCCTGAGGGACTTCTGTACATCACTTCCTTTTACAAACGGTTTAACTGAAGGACAGTCAGCTTCATTTGTTGTTGAACAGTTGTAGATACTGTCCACGGCATATGCAAGGGCATATACCGCATCAATGACGTACGAAACAAATGAGCTTCGGATCTTGGTGACAATGTTATTCAAAGTGAGATTTGCCTCACAAGCTGGTATATCAGAATCACTGGATTTGTTTCCTGAACAATTGAAATGTGAACTCCAAAATTCTTCCCACCACATCATTCCTCTTTCGAAGCTCTTTTCAGGGGTAATCCTTTTGAGATGTTCTTCAAAAGCAGGGTCTTGGTAATCTCGTGGTTGTATCCCCAAAGAACCATCTAACACAGTAAAACGAGGATCCAGAAACACCGCTTCTTCAGCAGTAAGTGCATCGCTTAGTATAAATGTTCTTCCTTGAAGGTTTTGATCAGTTGCCTCATTGAGGAATGCTCTGCCTTTGCCACCAGAAAGCCAAACTATGATCACTCCAATACTGGACTTTGCTTTAATTCTTGAAACTGTTTGCTTTATTTTTTCCTGGAACTTCAGGCGAGGGATGAACTCCGAAAAAGCAACGCAGAAGCTTTTTCTATCATAAGACTCTTGCTCCAGAGCCCAAATACCATTGCGGCCGTAGGAGTCATCAACGCCTACGGCAGCCACGTATGTCCAGTTGAAATGCTCAATGATGTCAGCCATGACTTGTGCCTGCCAGTTATCTGGTGGAACTGTCCTGAAGAAGTCATTGTACAATGGTGAGCTTAACTCCACGCTTGTTGCAGTTGGACTTATTGCAGGAATAGGAGCAACCTGGAGCAGACTCCCCACTAGGACTGCACTGCCTGAATTGTACGGTCCAACTAGAGCTGAAATGGGTTTTGATGTAACTACAGTGACGTTTCCCGTGGATGAAAGGTTTGTGGAGGGCATACAGTTTTGGTCGCTGCTGCGCAACAGATCATATGTTATTTTCATAGCTAGAGCAGTCCTCTCGCAGTAATCTCGAATATCGTAACCAAGTGTGACGTTTGAAAGAAGACGAGGATTTTCGTTCACGCTTTCAATGGCAAATATCATAGCCTCAGCGTGTCCTAGTCCCATTGTAAAAAGATCACCGCAATGATCCTCAGTTCCGGCAAAGTGAAGATTAAATAGACCTCCCAAGATGACATGACCGTCCTTGTAAGCTCCTCTGTCAAGATTGCACGACGCAAAGGGGAGAAATAGCACAGATACGTGAAACACTGTAAGTATACCCAAGAGACTAACACCAAAGTTCCTATTCCAACTCGTGCAATTCATTGCTTCTAAACCTTGTACAAGTCTTCCAGATTCTATAAATTTTCCTGCAATTAAAAGAAAATTTACGATTACGTTGTTTGAAGTTGTTTTAGTTATCTTAGAGAGCCTTTCTGCAATTTTTTTTCGGGAATTGAATAGAATGCAATATTAATCACAACGAAACAACACGAGCTTTCTGACGGTAAATAGCTGAACAGCATGCGTTTGATTCTCAGTTTTATCCTTCTCCAGAGGCTCTGAATGTTCCATAATACCACAAAGACACACTTTGTAAACAAGTCTGTAGAAAGACTAACCTATCGCAGTGGAAATCAGTTAATTTTGAGTCTCAAATAAGTGAATATTTGCTGGCCGAGAAATTCATGGAATATCTGAATACGTCTGTTCATTATTAATTCTAACCAACAATTATCATGTTTGGTAATTAGAAAGAGGAGAGTAAAAAGCAATTACATTGTATGCATTGCAACCATAGTAATATAATAACAAAAATTAAACAATTTCTTAGATCTGTCTATTCAGTGCGATCTTTTTAAAGGTGTGTACATTTGGCAACAAATGAAATTTTGAGATGATAAATATTATCAACTTCTTTCCTTTTAAATGCTAACAAAATTAAAATTACCCTCAGTTATCTTCCTCGTCAATGATGTCACATGGAAGTAGATGAAAATTTCTCACAAGTTTCCGTGAGGCTATTTACTGTATGCTGATTTCGAACATTCTAGCCTAAATTTACATGCAACACAGAATGGTGTCAACTTTGATTGAAAAACCACGCCAGCTCAGTACCAGTGCCCCCTACAGAGCTAATGAGCTCAAATCATTTGGTGTGTGGTTAGAATCCTTTGCAAACACATTTTTAATCCATGCACATATCAGCCGCTTTTCAGCTTGGCTGAGATGACTTCTGATTAAAATTAAAAAAGTCCTCTTCAAGGCACATGGCGAATGATAACTTGTGGAGCTTAATTGGAGGAGTGCGCCGTTCAGATGACAGTTTACTGAAGACGTTCTCGCGCTATCCTGTACAAACTTGATGAAGGCAAAATCATTTAGGCCAAAAATTTTTGCGTTTCCACGATTAATATAATTTTTTCTCCCACAACTTAATCCATGTCTGATACATTCATTTGTACCTTAACGTCAACTTCATTCTTTTTCAATTCCAGTATAGAAAAACTGGCAACACAAACCACTAAAACTATGACCTACAGCCAGGAGACATCAAGGTGCGTTAGAAATTTTGATAAGTGTTTTTCATTACAGCCAAATCCTTTGATTTCATTAAAATTTATCAAAGTGATGGACATCTTCCGGTGAACACGATTTGTTTCTCGTTGCAATTACACACTTTCCTTAAATCGATTGGTTGTTTTGAAAATTTAGTCCGCAAATATAATCGTCAGCGTATTTCTTTTCATGCAGATTTCCTCTTGTTATTGAATCTTTTTCAAGCAAAGAACGGTTTACATTACGAACGGTTTCTAATAAAACTGAGATCTATCAGTTTCGCCTGAAAGAAAGACCCCATCCAGACCCGAATTTTTTTTTGCCGGAGAGTGATGTAGTTGTTGTGATGAAGATAAATAAGAAAGTGTTGATCTGTTTAACGACACAAGTATCGGTAAAAATAATATAAAAAACCGCAAGACAAAACAAAACATACTTAACTCTAAGCCGTTTGTTTTCTATATCTATAGAAGTCTTCCTTCATTTAAACGATCTAGATTACAAAATCCTTTCCCAACCTGAGTCAAA